TGAAATTTCTTGTCGTTTTGATAATAGCCATTCTGACAGATGGAGGTGATATGTCATTGTGGTTTTGGTTTGCATTTTCCTAATGATTAGTGATGCCAATTATCTGTTAGTCATTTGTACGTCTTCTTGGGAAAAATATCTGCTGAGGTCTTGTGTCCAATTTTAAAATCAGATTGCTTTTATTTTGCTCTTGAATTGTATGAGTTCCTTATTTATTTTGATGTTAACCCCTTACCTGATAGATGGTTTGCAAAGATATCCTTCCATTCCATAGGTTGCCTTTTCATTTTGTTGATTGTATCTTTTGTTGTGCATCATTTTTTTAGTCTATTGTAGCCCCACTTATTATTATTATTTTGCTTTTGGATGGAATATCTCAGTGCTGGCCTCTTGACAGTTGAAATACCTTTTTAAGATCAGTAGTTTAAGGCTTAAAATCCTTTTTATGATTTAAGGGGCCTTGTTTACATTTAAAATGATACCCTAGGATACATTTTAACCTTTCACAGCAGAATGTGTTTCCAGATCTTGGCAAAGGCCTCAAACAGAGAAAGAGCTTTTCCTAACAGATGAGTGAGCTGGAGAGAGCAAAGCTGACACTTATCCCTGTTTTACTCCAGACCACGATAGGCAGACAGAACAGTGTGGTCCTGCAGATCTCAAGCCTGACACTCCTTACACCATCACCCTGTCCTCCCTGTGTTGTGATGTGGAAGGAGGTCGGATGACAGGAAGAGGCAAGACCAGTAAGTGAACCTGGACTCCTGTGGCTGTTTTAGTAACCATCATGGGGATGGAATCACATCTTCCACTGGAAACACTGGGGTGACACAGAGGTTTGCTAAACTTTTAAAATGCATGTTAATAATGCTCTTTTTCTTTCTTTCTTTTTTTTTTGGTCTCTGTTGTGGGTGGGGGGTAATTAGGTTTTATTTATTTTTTAATGGAGGTACTGGGGATTGAACCCAGGACCTTGTGCACACACTAAGCATACACTGTAGCCCTGAGCTATACCCTCCTTGCAAAGATCTAAATTGCTTTTAATATCCTTACTGGAGTTATCTGTCTCTGGTCTTGGAGAAAGGTGTTTATTACCTTCTAGGATAACACAAACAAACAAACTATGCTCTGAGGCCAAGATACCTTATGGAGGGATGAGACATGTACCTGATGATCACAGACATTTTTTCCTTTATTCACTACTTCAGCAGGTATTTGTGGGGTGCCTACTAAAGGGATCCTGTGTTCTAGGGTTCCCGGGACCCATCAGTAAACCTGGGCTTCGTGTGTGCTCGTTTGTTAGGGTCATACGTGGTGTGCTTTCTGTGCATTTCAGAACCTTTGAATACCGTGAGGAACCTCGGTGTATGACCCTTCCACAAGCACTTTGAATATTCACTGGGAGCACACAGCAAAATCCTCATCAGTACAAGCTCTTCTATGCACCCACAGCAGGTGGTCTGGAGGAACTGGTCACTATTTCCTGTAGGGAAAAGTGTGAATTAGTTTCAGCTATATATTGCAAAGTGAAGATCAAGAGTTAACTAGTGTACCGTAGCGCTGAAGGAGTTCATGTTCCTTCTGTAGAACTTGACAGAGAGTAGTTGGTTGGGGCCTCAGTGCCTGGGTGATGGGGGCTTTTGGGGGACTGGGGCTGGGGGATCAAATCATTCCAGGGGATTTTCAAGAAGGAGCTGGGCATGTACAGAGAGGCCTTCATCAACTCTTAGAACAGTTTGTATGGAGGCATATCCTTAGGTCCCAATAGTACAGACCTGCTTCTTGACTTGGTCTTCAGTTAGTATTTTGAGTATTTGGTTGTTCAAAGTATTATTTCTTGTACAAGGTTTTCAAATCAAGTACTTTACATTTTATTAAAATCTTTAGGTGCCAATCCCTGGGAATACCAATGATGCCATTCTTAGGAATCTGCAACCACATGCCCCAGACACCGTTACAATGGTTCCCCTTTATCCTGAGGGCGATGGAGGGCGTACATCAGACACTGGAAGAACATGCAAGTAAGAAGGCAGGCAAATTTAGCGTTTTCATGATGCATTTTGCTTTTTAGTATAAAGTTTAAAGTAGAAAGAAAATTTGGGAAATACATAATGATGGGATAAAAATGTAACAATTACACATAGTTTACCTTCCAACCCTCACCAATTGTTAATATTTTAGTGCATGAAATAAAAATGACATTCTTCTGAAGTGATAACTTCAGGATTTCTTAATGTGTTTACAGTTATCAGTGTTCTCTGTCACTGACAAAAGTTCATGAGCTTTGCTTTGTGCTCAATAAATTTGTACAAAGCAGTGTTTTGTCACTGGCTTTCAGTGTCGGTTGTTGAAATCTGCTGGTCGTGTTACTTGATAGCACATTTCTCTGCTGATGAAGTGCTTTTTGGTATTGAAAATCTCTGGTTTCATTTGCTATTAACATGTTGAGAAACCAGTTTATAGTGGTTTTACAATTCTTTGTAGTATTGTTTAAAGGCTTTTGTGCATACCTCTAAATATTTTTTTTGGCTTAAAAATATACATGCTGATGGCTCAAAGAAAGCAAGTATGGATGACTTGGCAAAAGATTAGTGGTCTAGAAAAATGATGTTATTGCTAAAATGGAGTTTGGGGATAATACATGGATTTAATTTGCATGTTTTTCTAAGTCCCTATTGGGGCAGTTAATTGAGAACTGAGTGTATCTTTGATTTCTCCCTGTGTTTGCCTTTTCTTTGAATCACAGAAGACACTCAGTGTCTGTTGAATGAGAAGAAATGAATGATTGAAACCAGCTAATCTAGCTGCCTGGATTAGATGGGCGTCCTCCGTGTTGTCAGTTCTCGTTTAGAGGCAGAGACGATAGAATTCTCTTGTCTCTCTCTCCATGACCTGTGCTGGAAAACTGAAGCTGCTTTTCCAGCTTCTGGCCCTTGCCCCTTGTCCTTTTGTGGCCAACCCAGTATTACTACTTTTACTCCCTTGTTTTTATTGACAACTTGGCTTCCGTAGAGACCAAGGCCCTAGTTGGCTGAGTTTGGCTAAACGTGGATTTGGAGAGTTTTCATCTGCTTTTGTGTGTAGATAATTCAAAGTTTAAGGAAGTCAGTATTTCTCCTACTACAGAGCAGAAGTTCAGGGTAAGTGATATGTGTAAATAGGCATAAGAAATATGTGTTGCCTTTTCTTTTCTCAGTGGTGAGAGGGCTGGCCAGAAATGTCCAAGTGTACAATCCACCGAACAGCGGGGACGTTGGCTGGACCCCGCCCCTGGCCAGTGCAGCAGTGCCGCGTGTGTGCGCTGCCCTGGCTGGCACGAGGCCCCCGGAACCTGTAAGTACTGTTGTCGGCTCAGAGCTGGCAGAAGAATTTTGTAATTTTCTGGTGCCTCCTGCTGTGGTTGCTGGGGCAGGACAGTAGAGTTGGTGTGGCCCTGGGTCACGGGCACACTCATTTCCTGATGAACTTAGTCTCATGTTTGTGTCGTGCTTGGCAGCCTGTGAGAACGCAGGCCACAAAAATGCCTGTGTACAATGCTTAAGTGATTGCTTTTGATGAATTAAATCGTAAGGGTATCAACTGTAGGGTTAGTAAGCAAAAATGAATTTGGGGAAAATGCAAATTAGCTATATATGAGTTAAAAAACCCCAGTAGTAAATGCAAATCATTCATAGACCCTGTCAATATGGGCTTTCATTGTAAGACACATCTTTGTTAGGAACCTACCTGAAAGTTTGCCTTCATTGGCTCGTAACAGATTGCCAATCTGTCTTAGTACTATTCCATTTTCTAAGTAGGTTAATAATACAGAGAGAAGAAATTACTAATTTGAGTAGGAAGAGTATCAGAACATCAAAGGGCAAGTAAACTTACAAGACTTTACAAACAGAAGCAGGGACCATGAACAAAGATAAACACAGCTTGAGCCTGCCCGAATGTTGACCTGCATCCTGTGTGTGGCAGGACGTGTTCAGACAACACTGCTCTTATCCACTGCCTGGAGTAGCTGTTTTAATAGATCTCTCCCCGAGAAGTGTATCTCAGGTGTACATGTCTCTAACATTTGGGATGCTTTGGGGTCACTGTCATAAGCCCTGGATGTTGTATATGAGAACCTTCCCCAGGAACCTAAATGGGAGGTTGTTGAAGTTGCTAAGGGTCAAGTGTGAGCTCACATTTAATGGAGAGGGGATTTATGAGAGTAAATTACATCTAGTGCTATGGCCTGGGCAGATCTCATGAGGTAGCACAGAGGTTGACTTCTGCTGTGTCTGGGCTCAGCCCTTTACTATAAACGTTATAATGCTGACTAATAAAAGACTCAGTAAGCATTTGGGTTGTCGTCAGACATAATTTGTCAGGTCCTCCCCTCTACATTGTGGTGCCAGGAAACACCCACACAGGGCACTTGGAGCAGCTGATTCCAGACACACCCTATTCCGGGGACATCATTGCCCTCCACTCAGATGGAAGGGGAGTCCCAGCCCTGCCCAGGGCCAAACACATGAGGCTGAAACCCTTTCCACCCAGTTCCCTTGTGACTCAGTGAGGAAGGCTGGACAGGCGGGTGGTGAGGGGGGTGCTGAAAGCTGCCTCCACCTTGCGCAGGTGAGGGAAGGGCTCACGCCTACTTCTGCCTGGGTTCCCCACGTTCACCTTCAGGCTGAAGGCCCTCTGGGCTGCGTGAGTGTCACTGGGCCATTTTCTCACCTGGGACCTTTGTTAAGGAGGTTCCTTCCCGTCTCCTGCCCTGCGGTGAGTCTTCTCACCAACTGGGCACTTGAAATGGGAGGGCTTGGCCTCTCTGTTTCATTCAACAGGAATTGGTTAGAATAGTTGAAATCCCTTTCTCTCCCAGTCTGTACATTTATGTTCCAACCTAGTCTCTGTCCGTAAAAGATCAGCATGTAACCATAGCTCTGAATGGAGCACTTTTTCTTTAACATTTTTTTTTATTGACTTATAGTCAGTCTACAATGTTGTGTCAATTTCCAGTGTAGAGCACAA